TAATATGTTATGTCACAGCTGATTCCACACAATAGTATAAGTTTCAATAATATGTTATATCACAGCCGATTCCACACAATAGTATGTTTCAATAATATGTTATGTCACTGCTGATTCCACACAATAGTATAAGTTTCAATAATATGTTATGTCACAGCTGATTCCACACAATAGTATAAATTTCAATAATATGTTATGTCACAGCTGATTCCACACAATAGTATAAATTTCAATAATATGTTATGTCACAGCAGATTCCACACAATAGTATAAGTTTCAATAATATGTTATGTAACAGCTGATTCCACACAATAGTATAAGTTTCAGTAATATGTTATGTAACAGCTGATTCCACACAATAGTGTAAGTATCAATAATATGTTATGTCACTGCTGATTCCACACAATAGTATAAGTTTCAATAATATGTTATGTAACAGCTGATTCCACACAATAGTATAAGTTTCAATAACATGTTATGTAACAGCTGATTCCACACAATAGTATAAGTTTCAATAATATGTTATGTCACAGCTGATTCCACACAATAGTATGTTTCAACATGTTATGTAACAGTTGATTTGTTCTCAAATCAGACATTTCTACAGTTCTTTTTTTGTTTGTTCCATGTATGACTTTTTTTAAATGAACATGGACTTTCATATACACAGTTTTTGTTTTCTTATAGACAATCTTTTTCTTTAAAAAATAAGTACTTAATTTAAATAATTGGTTTAAAATCCACTTGTAAATTATTTTTATTATTAACTCTTTCTGCACGGGTACCCTTTACTTCACATGACACAAGGTTTTAGTGTCTTACATTCAAAATTTTATTAAACTACTTTTTGTTTATGTTATACCAATTAGAATAGCATAAAATCTTAGCTAATAATTCATATCTTAATAGTATACAAGTTTTAAGTTTTTAATTCTAAAAGGAAATATATAAAAAAATCCTGAATTTCCACTAGTGTAACACGACAAATTTTGTCTTAGCATGTAATCATCCCTATTTTATCCATCACCCCCTCAAAAATGTACGAAATTGAATGTAAAATGCTCTCTATAAAATCATTATTGCTCAAACAGGCCATAATTTTTATGGCCTTCAATTTTTTTTGTTACAGAGCTATCAAAGAGAAAATCAGACCCCTACTGCCCTCTCTTTCACAATTGGTTGATAGTTCTCTCTTATGTTTCATTATATATTATTTATATCCAATAGAAAGTCAAGGTTTTCAATCAATAAAATGGCGTTTTGTATAACATTGTATTCTGAACAGATAACCGTCAATATCACTCGGAGTAGCAATTTCGTTCTCGTGGGAAAGTTAACGACTAACTTGGATGAATTTGTAATGGCTCTTGTCTCAGCACTGTAGTGTCTTTATTCAGTATATCATCATCCTATATACAGCACCAGTGTCTTTATTCAGAATATCATCATCCTATATACAGTGCTGAATAAAGACACTACAGTGCTGTATATAGGAGGAGGATATTCTGAATAAAGACACTATATACTTTCATCATCCTATATATACAGCACCAGAGTGTCTTTATTCAGTATATCATCATCCTATATACAGCACTGTAGTGTCTTTATTCAGAATATCATCATCCTATATACAGCAAATAAAGACATTACAGAAAGTATATCATCACTCCTATATACAACACTGTAGTGTCTTTATTAAGTATATCATCATCCTATATATACAGCACTGTAGTGTCTTTATTAAGTATATCATCATCCTATATACAGCACCATAGTCTTTATTAAGTATATCATCATCCTATATACAGCACCAGAGTGTCTTTATTCAGAATATCATCATCCTATATACAGCACTGTAGTGTCTTTATTCAGAATATCATCATCCTATATACAGCACTGTAATGTCTTTATTCAGTATATCATCATCCTATATACAGCACCATAGTCTTTATTAAGTATATCATCACTCCTATATACAGCACTGTAGTGTCTTTATTAAATATAATATCATCATGAATACAAACATTTTTAAATCTAGTATTATTATCACCATCTTATATAAAGGACTGTTTTACTGAAAATGTGGCACTTCAACAAGTTTTCCTTGGGATTATTAAACAAAAACATTATATATACTCCAAAAGCCCTCTGAATGTTTAAATAAGTTACTCTACTAGAAACACAACTTTCAATACTCACCTCTCTGAGATCATGTCTTAATAAAGCATTGTATTTTTCTAATTCTCTATTTTCATTACGTATATTATACAAAGTTTTCTCTTGATGAGCAAACTTTTCCAACTGGTTCAATGTTACCCTGTAGTAAAAGAAACAGAAATCAAACAGCTTCGATCTCTCCAGCATGCAATCAGATCAATAACGATATCTTTTCAAAATCATTCAAAACACTGTTAGCATATAACAAGTACAATCATATAATACAAATAGAACTGACATATACACTCTTCTTTACACAGTTTGTATTAACTTCATTGGCATAATTACTGAATTTGTAGCACATATAACAACTGAAGTTTCAAAAAAACATTTAAATGACATAGATTTAATAGAGCATTTTTTTTTAAATGTTACATATCTCTAAAGTACACAACAAAAATACAAGAAGAAAATAATGTCTCACCTGTATTTTTGATCAAGTTCGTCATTTTGATTACGTAAATTAAACAATTGATTCTCCATGCTCTCCAGCTTGTTTCGTATATCTTGTGACAAAGACTACAAAAACAAGATATGCTAAAGATGTCTTGATCTTATTGTTGTGACAAATACTACAAAAACAAGATATGCTACAGATGTCTTGATCTTATTGTTGTGACAAATACTACAAAAACAAGATATGCTACAGATGTCTTGATCTTATTGTTGTGACAAATACAACAAAAACAAGATATGCTACAGATGTCTTGATCTTATTGTTGTGACAAAGACTACAAAAACAAGATATGCTACAGATGTCTTGATCTTATTCTTGTGACAAAGACTACAAAAACAAGATATACTACAGATGTCTTGATCTTATTGTTGTGACAAATACTACAAAAACAAGATATGCTACAGATGTATTGATCTTATTGTTGTGACAAATACTACAAAAACAAGATATGCTACAGATGTCTTGATCTTATTGTTGTGACAAATACTACAAAAACAAGATATGCTACAGATGTCTTGATCTTATTGTTGTGACAAATACAACAAAAACAAGATATACTACAGATGTCTTGATCTTATTGTTGTGACTTGCTATAAACTTCAAAAATAACAAAAAATAATTACCTTATCAGGCTGTTGAGGGAATCAAAGCATGTATAAGTCACCAGGACAATCAGGACCAGGACAAAATTAAAAAATATCATATCAGATATCATAAATTATGTAAAAACTAACACAAATCTAGCATCACCTTTAAAGAAAGAAAAATGATTTGTATAAAACTTCAGAATTTCAAAACTCAGTTTCATCTTTACACTTCAAATACACATAGAATTCTATTGTAAAATTATTATTTAATGGTTTATATATTTAGAAGCTGTAGTAAGAGCTGAACTTTGTACAACTCTGAAATTGTGAAGCTTGAAATAAACTAATTCTATTGGAAGGAAAAGGTTTGTCAGCTTCTTTGTGATTTTTATTCATTTCTGAAATTTCATCAGGTTTAAGATTCAAAATCTATTGGAATCAAATTACCATGGTTACCATCTATTACCATGGTTATCCAGTGTCATAGTACAAAACTTGCACATCAAAGTGAAAGCTAAACTTTTAGTTAAAAATGGATTTCAACAGACTGCTACTAAAACCCTTAATTTCAAATGGAAATAAAGCTAGAAATAAAACATTAAATAAACATCAGTTGAAGACAAACGTTTAAAATTCCAACTATTTAAACAAGGTTTCATTATTTATTGACAAAAGTTCACCTCATCAATGGTTCCATTATGTCGTCCTCTTCCTGATAATAGCCTGCAGCAAAGGGAGAAACTGACAATGTTGTTATTGATATTTTCAACTAGTTCATTACATCTAAAATTAACATTCAAGTTATCACATCATATGAAGTCGTATTTACTTTCTAGCTTATTACACCTTCAATTATTCATAAAATTTTAAAGGGACAAAAAAAAGCTTATTAACCCATCAACGTTGTCCCTTCCAGCTACCAACTATAACCATCCCTTACTACTAATGTATTCATCAAATCTTTTATTGAACTCAGTTAAATTTTCTGCCTCCACCACCCTTAAAGGTAGCTCATTTCAAAAGCTAACGACTCTGTTTGAAAAGTAATACTATCTAAACTGCAGAGGACTCCTATGCTGCCAAAATTTGAATTCATAACCCATTGTTTCCACTGCTGAACACAAAAAGTTTGATGGATCTATATTATCAATACCCTTAATAATCTTAAACACCTCAATAAAATCCCCCCCGACCCTTCTCTTTTCCAGAGAAAACAAGTTTAGAGATTTTAGTCTCTCCTCATAGGACAATCACACCATCCCAGTTATCATCCTAGTGGCTCTTCTCCGAACCTTCTCCAACAATTCAATGTCCTTCTTGAAGAAAGGAGGCCAAAATTGTACACAGTACTTAACTGAATATCTCAATTTAAAAATGCTGATAAATTCAAACAATTTAAACTGATCTTAACAAACGTATTAGTTAACTAAAGAATAATACACACCCAAAATATTTTCTACATTTAACATAAAGTTTCATTACTAACTGATAGTCTCCTGAATAAGTGAAGCCTACAAAAGGAAGATTGTTGCCAGTAAATGAATTTGATGGAGGAAAGCTTTCCTCTGGACTTTCATCTTTTTCTATTTCATCAAAATTACTGGTGTCATCATCACTTGCAAGTTCAGGAACAACTGGTGGGACACCTAAAAGGCAAAAAATTATACTTTTCTTATGGAAGGTAAAGCTTTACATTTTTACAGCAGAGATACTTATTGATCAAAAACGAAAACAAAGGGCACCCAGAAACCAAAACTGAAACTAATCTTTTCAAATGAAGGTCATTTGTATGCCTAAAACTGTCTGCTTACTACAAAAGAACAAATTATAGTTTTTACATCACTGGAAACAGTGCATGGACAAAAAATAACCTTTCAAATGATGCTTATAAAATAATTTGACTTTAAAATTAAACAAAAACAACAAAGAGAAAAAGTACTTATTCAAATGAAACCTAAACATATTCAACTTCAACATAAAAAGCAAAATAATTCTTAGCATTTGATAACATTTTAATCCTAAAGGTAATTGTAACATATGAGAAAGAATAATACATGCAAAAATTTTAGATGTTTAAATCATCAATCACATTTTTGTTATCAGTGCTTTAAAGTCTGTACTTTGTTTTTTACATAAGCATATGTGAAACCAAAACACCAACTGTTTCACACAACTTTTCTGTACTAATCAGGTAACTAAATCCCTGCATCAAGTTCGAAGAATACCAACAATTTTAAGCATATTGTAAAGACAAAGATATATCATTAAAACCTGGCTTAAATGTCTAATCAATAAAATCTTTTTAATTTGCAATATTTTTCCATTCTTTGAAAGCAGCTGTGAAAAGGTTAAAGGCCTGAAGTTGTTAAAGTAAAAAATTTGACTGTCTGCTACAATATGCAGTCATTATAGAAAAAAAAAAGAGGTAATTTTGATTTTATTTCATATTTTTCAAATTTTTATTTTACTGTACATTGATGATATTGCTACAGTTAGTGTCAGAATATAGAAAATAATAAATCAAATATAAAGTTTTACAAAAACAAAGATGATGATATTCATTTAGGAAGTTACTAAGGTTACGTCAATATGAAGCTGTAAGATCAAAAGAAATATTCCTACCATGAAAATCACTCAGTAAAATTACTTTATTAAAAAAATATGATTTTTTGTATACAGCATATTTCTAACGTTTAGTAAAAGCTTGCCAATTTTGTCAAGATTCAATTTGTATATTTACAGTTATATGTACACTTTTCATGGTTACAAGGTCAGTCAAACTGACCACCCCTATGAAATAGACCATTTCTTTCAACAAACAGGCCTAGTGCATGACACCTTAGGTCTATTATGTATGAAAACTGGTTTCAGGTCAGAGGTTATGTGGGTCTTGCCAACAGTACAATATATAGCTATCTTATGTAGTGTTTTTTTATATTATAAACCATAAATTGATTAAAAAATCAAATTTATATTTCAAAACGTCCTACAGTTTTCATTCCATGTGCTTGAAATGTGTGCATTATAAATATTGTGACTTTTATTAATCAGTAATTTTTATCAATGCAAGGACAGAGGTGTCATTATACTGGCCACCAGGTTGTACTTGTTTTTAAGCACAAACCTACACAATGAACAATATGCATTGTACCCACTGTAGGTATCAGTACCTGGTTTTTAGTATTATATACTTCCAGACTTACCACTGAGCCACTAGGGGGCACCAGATGGTAAAATATTATGTAAGAATGCTTTTTGAAATATCTTGTGATGTTGACTATATAGATTGTTTTAATCACAGATAATTACACAATAGAAATTTAAATATTTTCAAAACGAACACAACAATAGAGCTGATGAAAAACATACACTCTCGAATGTTGTCAAATGTCCACTGGTCATTTTGAAAGAACCGATGCCTTTTAATTTCATCAATTCCACTTCTTCCTAATCTCTGTGACCTATTTGGCATACAGAATAAATATAGGGGAATGAATCCGTTTTAGTTGATATCTATGAACTGATGATGCATAGAATATATGGAAGTAATATCAAGATATGTATAACTGTATTATCTGTATTTTTATGGACTACAATACATAGGTGTAGGTAAATTTACAAGGGATATACAATTTTGTAAATTTTCCTAATTTCTCTAACTCATATGCACTATAGAAATAATATTGATTACCTACAAAGGTATAAAACATAAATAGAAAAAAAAATTATAGCAATCTTACTAATCTTTGTAATTTACTCTACGTTACTCAGTTCTTTATTTGTCAAATGATCAACAAAACAGATCATTTTAAAACATTTATGAACAATCCTTTCCAGCTTCAAGTTAATTCAATAAGAAGATTCCTTACACTAAATGCACATGAATCCAATATTTTCATGTACTACATCCACTGGAATATTGTTCTAGGTAAACATATTATTTAAAAGATTCAATTTAGTTCTAGATATCTATTACTAAAAAAAAACAAAAAACAAATTACAGATAACTAAGGCGAGAAACCTTCTTAGTCATAAAAAATTCAAGCAGTTAGGTAAGTCTTTAGGATCTTTTTGTTAAAACTTCTTTGTGAAGATAAAGTTCTAGGTTTCAAAGCTCAGCATAGGAATGTTTTAATTCAAAATCATAATTCAGATAAAATATGAACTTTAAAGCGTCTAAGCACTTGTACAATGTTACAGTTGTTTGTTAGACATTTATACTTATAACAAGTGTCTACTATTTTATATGAAATTCAATCTACAACTAAAACACTATAAAGAACCATCACTTAGGTCATACATCAATACATGAGCTTCCACTAACCTCTCACTAAGAAAGGCACTTATAAGCATTTTGGCATCGTTTGTGATTTCAATATCTTCAGGATAACGCAGAGAATTCTTGTGGTCCATAATCTTTCCATAAGTTCCAACCAAAGAATCAGCGTAGAATGGAGTATCCCCTATAAAAAACATTCTAATAAATTCTACATGAACATTTTTCATAAACATCAAATATTCAAAGATGAATGAATGTTATGAGCTTGTGAAGTTTTTACAATCAGTAAAATATAACACTTAAACCTTATTGAGAATCTATTTATATTTCTGTACACACTGATGAGTGTAAATAAATACTCACCGACCAACATTTCATACAAAAAGACACCTACAGACCACCAGTCACATTCCCTGCCATACAGGCCTTCTCCTCCCTGAGATTTAAGAACTTCAGGAGAAATGTAATCTGGTGTTCCTACAGCTGTATCAGATCTCACCAAGCCATCCTGTGGGAAGAAAATACAACATCACAGATTTATCAATCTCACCAAGCCATCCTGTGGGAATAAAATACAACTTCACAGATTTATCAGCTTTCACCAAGCCATCCTGTAGGAATAAAATACAACTTCACAGATTTATCAGCTTTCACCAAACCATCCTGTGGGAATAAAATACAACCTCACAGATTTATTAGCTTTCACCAAGCCATCCTGTGGGAATAAAATACAACATTACAGATTTATCAGCTTTCACCAAGTCATCCTGTAGGAATAAAATACAACCTCACAGATTTATCAGCTTTCACCAAGCCATCCTGTAGGAATAAAATACAACCTCACAGATTTATCAGCTTTCACCAAGCCATCCTGTGGGAATAAAATACAACCTCACAGATTTATCAGCTTTCACCAAGCCATCCTGTGGGAATAAAATACAACCTCACAGATTTATCAGCTTTCACCAAGCCATCCTGTGG